GAAATCTGATTGGTTCAAAATGAAAAAATATGCTAATTTATGCTAAAATTCATACAAACACGGCGGATGTATTATTGAGAGGCGTTTCTTTGAGTTTTGCATTCAAAAGACTTTAAAAGCCACGATTTACGGTTGAACAATATAGAGGTATTTACGAACTTGGTTCACGAAGCTCTAGAGATATTGACTGTGGTGTCCTCGTTGGATTGCTGTCTGTTAGGAGCGCCTAGCTCTTCACAAGCGTGTTCGTTTTCATCAATTCATCGACGACAAATAGGTTTTTTCTTCATAATTTTGTAGCTAATATTTTTGTGCCAGGAGAAAATTGCTGTAAATGCTTATGTCTTATGAACAGGACTTGCTTTCTCTGAAGTGATGGCTTTAGACACCTTTAATATTCTCTTCTCTGCATCGCTCGAAACTTTAACATTTAATACATCACGGTTGACCGCTGTCGAAACTATATAAAATTATATTTGTACGTGTGCGAGAAAGCTACGAAATATCGTAGATACGGACTGCAAACTACTTGTGACAACGATGGAGATTGCCCTAGGCCTAGCGCTATTCCCACAGACTTCAATTTTCTCTAGCCGACATCCGTATATTATTTCGTTTTGAAATTTGCGAACATACAGCAATCTATATTTATATTTCATTTTGACAAGTAAATTTGCAAACGTAAACAATCTGTGTGATTGGCCAATTTTGACATCTGTTTAAAGTGGGCGTAGCCCGCATGCTAAGTGGGCGGAAATGGCAATGCATGGGGTTTCGTGCAGGCTCTACTTTCTCTGAGAGCCGCTATGCAGGCTACCAATGGTCAATTGCGAACAATATGAAGCTAAATGTGAAGAAAACTAAAGAATTCATTGTGTCCTTCTTAACTAACCACCCATCATTTCTAGTCCAGTCAATCTGTGACCAGAGGTCAAAGAAATTGCAATAGAATTTTTCTCAGTGGTAAAATGTGAGGGAAGTGTCCTGATTAACATACTAAAAAAAAAAAATCCCTTCGGTGGAACATGGTGAAAATCAAGTTTTTCTTACGGCTCCTACCTAGCTATAGAAAACCATTGTGATTTGTGGACAGAACGTTCAAATTTTGAAATCATTTTTAGGCAAAGTAACCTACATTATTGGAAAGCTTAAACAAAACTATATAAAGGTTAACTAAACCGTTATATTCAATTTACTGGTCAGTTTGTCGTTATTCTAGCTCAAAGTTGGAAAAATAGCGCAAAATTTGCACAAAATACAAATTTATGGCATTTTAAATCTTTGATAACTTCGGCTGAATAGGCAAAAGCAAGGTAACCGTTTAATGATCTGTATTTTATTTTTTTCTAAGCTTTCCAATGAAGCATGTTACATTTGCAAGAAAATAATTTCAAAATTTCAACATTTTGTTCGCAATGGTTTTTCTATAGGTAGAAGTAAGAAAAACTTGATTTTCACCATTTTCCACCGAAGGGATTTTTTTGGATTTTTAATATGTTAATCAGAACAACTTTTCACACACTTTACCACTGAAAAAAAAATCAATTGCGATTACTTTGATCAGGACCATGTACTTATGGTGATTTACTGGACTATTCAGCCTCTGATGACCAATAACCAACATCTTGAGACGGTTCACACCATAAAATCCCAGGTTTGCATCAGTTGTTCACATGCTTAGTAGCCAAAGTTCTATATTTATCTCGAGATTTATCTGATAATTTGTAATATTAACAGGCTAGAAAACGGTTCCCTTGTTCTACCGAGGTACTTGGACCTTCTAGGGATTAATTGCTGTGACGCAGATGTGTTGGCATAGAACATATTACTCCATGCGTTAACCGCAATTTATAGCTTTGCTTAAATTGATTATTTAAATGAACAACTTTGAAGAAACATCAATTTATCCAATCAATTTATATATCTTTGTAAAATATTATTATTATAAATATTGGCTGCTTACAGCTGTAAGAATGTCAACACAATAAAGCATAAACAACATTTTAAAAAAATAGATGCTTTTAAGCATCATCATTATAATTATTCCGTGTCAAATAACAACCGACTTATCTTTAATCTAATCTTTAATCTTTAATCTTTCTAGAATTTCACATTTTAAAATAGTAAATACTAAATACTAATTTACAATGTGAATTACATTTAAACTGTATTAAAAAAATTAACTAAGACTAATGTTAAGAGTCAATATTTACAAGTAATCTTAAATAAAAATTTTAAAATTTTGAAAGAATTCGATAAATTTACTTCGACTCCAGCGTTCGGTTAAAACATTCAATCCCATACACAATTGGGCTATTTTTAAATCGTTCAGTTCGATATCCAAAATTGTACAGTTTTTCTCCATTTGATCTAGTTTGTCTCTGTCTTATCTGATTAACTGTTTCTGGCTATGTCTAGGGTCTATCATTGTTTTTATAAGTTTTCCGCACATCTCTTCTCTGCGAGCCTTTAATGTTTTAAGGTTACAGTCCAGTAATGCTTCTTCATAAGTCAGTCCAGGATAAATTATCCTAAGCGCACGCTTCTGAACTCGTTCTATGTCAGTAGACTGTTCCTTGGTTAAGTTTCCATGCCAAATTTGAGCACAATATTCAAGTGTCGATCTTATGACAGCTATATAAAAGGCTTTTAAATCCTGCTTTGGTGCATTATAACCTTTTAACATCTTCAGAAAATACAGTCTTTTTACCGCTTTTTTAACAATATAGCATGTGTTGGTTGACCACTTCAAATTGTCATCAATCCATCAACCAAGTAATTTGTAACATTTAACCCTTCCAAATACATGACTATTGATTTCTAGCGTTGGAATAACAGTTACATTTTTCCGAAAGTCAATTATCATGGCTGACATCTAGTACCTCGTATAATGTCGTGTCATCCATAAATATTAAAGTATCATGTTCAAGTATAACATTAGTTTCCATGTTGGTTGATATCATGAGTTGAATTTCTTCTTTTATTACAGAGGGAAGTTTATCAATCTTTATTACAAAGGCAATTGGTCCGAGTTTACTTCCTTGTGGCACTCCGCCATTGATATATGCATAATCAGACATATCATTCCCAAATTTAGTAAAATGGGATCTTTTATTGAGGTATGTTCCAAACCATTGGATTAACGCCAATCTAACTCCCATCTCTTTCATATTTCTTAGCAGTATATTATGGTTAATTAGATCGAACGCTTTTCTAGAGTCAAGAAAAATTATTCGTATTACTCTTTGTGGCTCGTCCATTGCTCTATACCAGTTGTGGAGTAGATTTAGAAGGGCATACAAAGTCGAAGATCCTGGGAGCCCTCCATATTGGGAATTGGAAATTTTCCCATTTATTTCTTCATTAATCCACTTGTTGGTAAAGGATTCCTGAACTTTTGATAAAACACTGATTAATGCAATCGGTCTAAGGTTTTCAGCGATTGTACATGGTGTGATCTTAGGAATCCCAGTTACTTTGTATTTTTCCAAGTTTCAGGAAATTTCTTTGTCTGAAATGACTCATTAAAAATTTCAGCAAGGGGAACGGCAAACAATTTCGAAAACATTTTCAGAATCTTCAAAGGTGGATCATTTGGCCCAGGTGCCTTGTTAACATTAATTGCATTCAATTCTCTAGCAACTTCTTCAACACTGATTAACGGTAGATCATCCGGGCATTGCATTTCTAGCCACTCGTTTGATATATGTGGATAATTTGTCGTTAAATTAGCAAAGAAGTTATTAATTGAATCTGCCGATTGTTTATCGTTCATTTGGAGATTTGTCTCGGAGTCTACTAAAGTCACAGCGTTTTTCCTTGATCCAATGAATCTTTTAACTTGCTTCCACCATATACTTTTGGGCATGAACTATGGTTTGGTCGTACCTTTTTATCATAAAACTGCAGCTTGGCTTTTTTTATCTCAGCTGAAACTTGTCTACGTAAAGATTTGAAGAGCTCGGTTTTATTGTTTTTAAAAGTTTTATTTCTTTTATCCATCAGAGATTTAATTTTTTGCGTCGTAAAGGGTTTATCGTTGGTATGCTTTTTTATTATTCTTTCGGGAAAAAATCGTTGATAATCACTTTAGTAAAATGAAGAAAAGCATCAACTTTCTCATCGAGTCCTTTGTTAGAGAAAAGTTCACTCCAGTCATAGTTCTGTAGAAAAACCCCAAACTGTTCCGTACTTGTATGGTTGAGATCTCTCACTTTTACTTTTACTATGTTTCCAGCCTTTACTACAGAGGCATCAGTTCTCACTTTCCACAACACAATGTTATGATCTGATATTGATAGAGGTGCTAAGACCTCAGGATTTATATAGAAATCCGCGATATTTGTAAAAATCAAATCAAGTATATTGTTATTCCGTGTCGGAACCTTGACAACTTGTTTAAGACTGCAGTGTCTATTTAATCGACTCTGTTGAAAGCCGTTACTCGTTGGGTTAAAATGGCCCGAAACATTGAAAGCTGAGTTAGGAGTTTCAGTACAGAGTTTGTCATAACAATTATAAAAGTAATCATAAAAACTGTCTATCTCGCTATGACTCGGTGGTAGCTAGGTATACGCAGCACACCGCAATTTTAGATATTGCTCTTGGTAACCATTTTGGACGTAATGTAACCCATTGACACTCAAACGAGGGGTCATTCAAGTCCTTGCGAATTTTAAATGGTATTTTGTTATTCACATATAAAGCAACACCCCCTCCTGTACCATACGTTCTATCATTTCTAACCAATGTCATTCCAGAAACAGCCACAGCTTTATCGGGAACAGTTTCCTTTAACCAAGTCTCAGTGATGCAGGCGATGTCTATATCATTTGTAATAACCAATAATTCCAATTCATCTGTTTTATTAATAAGTGATCTTGCATTTAAAAGCATTGCATTTGGGAGAAGTTTCCCATTTTTTGATTTATCGTTGTTCTTTTCCAAAGGAATATTAATTAAATTGGATTTACGTGCGTTACTCAGTGGTGGATATTCTTCTAGTAGTAATAGCTGTACCAGTTCTTCCGCTCGTGTTTGTCTTTCAGCCAATCGATTTGGTGATACGTGGGACGCGATCGAAACTTGTCTCTGTTAGCCCATTTGCTTGTTCCTCTGTTTGCCTGTTTGCTTTTTAAGGATTGGCTAGACTTTCTTCTCCACCGGTTTGTTGATGAGGTACGTAGAGTGATGCGCGTTGGGATGGGATAATGTTGGTCATGGTCATGGGTAGGGTCACAAGGATGTATGCTGTCATCACCAGTGCCAGGTTGATTTATAAATGAATTCCCTTGACCTTCGCTATTTGCATCTTGGAGAGACTTAGTAATGTCAACACGTGCAATTGGTCGAACAATTTGGCTCGTTGTTACACGATTAACTAGTCTTAGATAGTTTCTCCAATCTTTACTCTTTATATAGGGCTGGGAATAAGTGGGTGGCGAATACCCTTCTGATTGTGGGTTGTTTTGCGTTTCTGGGCAAGTTCCTTGAGACAAATCGGCCCAAACTTTAGGTTTAACTTTGCGTTCTTCCAATTCAATTGATAAGACTTCGCTGGTATCACGAAGCAAGTTATTTTCGTCTCGTAAAACGGTAACATTTCTTTGAAGTAAATCATTCTCATTTCTTAAGCGTGATAATTCACTAGCCATATGGTTATCTACATCCGTATTGGCAGTAGAACACAATTCTTCAACTGGTTGGCAAACTGATATAATTGGTGGATCAACATGCTTCTGAATACCCTTACTTTTAATTTCAAAAGGATTTTTTTGGGAAAGCCTTCTCTTTTTATCTGGCAAACGTTAACCCTTAAAAATGGGCACTAGGCTTCGACAATACAGCAAATCTTCAGTCATTGTCCTCTTCTGTCATCTTTTTACACATGACATCACCATCAGTTAACTGTTTTAACAGCATCAGTTCTGCTGCATCCCTGTTCATTTTGTTTCCACTTCTGTTGCTTGTGAACAGCATTGAATTTATTGGGCCCCTTGTCTCCAGGTTGTAAATGTTGCGTTGATGTTCTAGAAGAAGAGGGTGCATCTTCTGGTTGTGTATACTGGCTTGTAATTGCTTCAGGTGACGGAACTATAGATGGCCGGTGCACTGTAAAGGGAAAGCTGGTATTCGCCATGAATGAATTGAACCATAAGACTCTTTTTAAAGATTTCAAAGTCTTCTACTAATAATAGTTTTTTTAACTGAAATATTATTTTGTTACGTTACATTGCTCTGTGTAAACAGTACTGGGCCAGTAAATGAATAAATGATAAAATACAAGTTGAATACAACAATTTAATAATACTTAGCGTTAATATAAAAATACACCCAATGGCAATGCATCAAAGCATCAGTCTGTTTGGCAATGTTTGCGAGGTTTTGAGTGGACGTACATTCCTCGAGGTTCATATAACAAAATTGTGTTCGTTTTAACCTGAGTATCAGGCTCTATTTTACAAATAGAGCCTGACACAAAACTTAACCTGATCGCTTTCCACCCACAGCAAAGTTTATATTTAGTATCCAATCAAAATGTCGCAGGAGAAATTTAAATTTCACACAACGACAACAACAATCTAATTATAGCATAGCAGCCCACTAAACGGCAGAATTTAAATTAAAACTGCAATGAACTATAAAATTAACAAAAATAATCACAAATTAGCGAAATATATTGGGAATGCAGCTTATATTAAATCGCCACCCAATTGCTCTCTTCTCCGCAGAGGTTTCAGTGACTACAATTAAAGAGCTTTACATGGCGCTTACTGTATTTATCAACAAACTGACATATAATTATAAAGTATATATATATTAAGTATACTTTATAACTATACGTCAGTTAGTCGATAGTGCAATCTGATGGCGATTTAATATAAGTTACATTTGCAATATATTTCGCTAATTTGCGATTATTTTCTAATTTTACTGCTGTTTTAATTTAAATTCAGCCGTTTAGTGGGCTGGATATAATTGTAGTTCGTTATAAAATACATCAACAACTGACAATAGTATAATCTAATTAGCACCAGCCAATCAAATGACAGATTTAAAAAATCGTTTGTCTAATCGGCCAATCAGACGAAAAAGCCAGAATCTGGCTTTTTACATGCGCCGCAGTAAAGAATTGTATCAGGCCCTCCCTCATTCGCCGCCGCCATTTAATCCTGGCGAATGAAAACATAAGGGCCTGATACTCAGGTTAGAGGAAATGAATTCATGCAATATTTTATCAACACTTCCATTACATCGACAGCAGAGCATCGCCAGTAAAACATAGACAAATGGATTAATTGATTTCATAATGGACAAATAGAATGATTTTAATATGCAGTTTATGGTAACATAGTTTTAATATAAATCTGAAGTAGATGTTAACTGTTTTGTTTCTACATAAGGGACTGGCCATTAATTACAGGGGATGGGGGGAGGCTGGTGGAAATAGAAAATTAGATGTTAAAATTTTGATGCCCCCCCCCCTTTAGGATAACACAATTATACATCCCCCCCCCCCTCACATGCAATAACAAAAGGTAAAATGCACACGTTACTGCCACCAGAATGTTATCAAATACTGAATGTATAGTTAAGTGCAAAAATTTGTGGGATCATTACTAAAAAATAGTCCAAGGATAATTTTGGTTCAATTTAGGGGCCGCGTCCATATTCATGTTGCCACGCTTAGCGTCAAATTGACGTTAAGAGTGGGTGGGTGCGTTTTATCCTAACTTGCCTGACGTTTATTCGTGGCATAATGACAATTTTGTGAAAATTTTGAAGAATTTGAGGTGAACTACAATGATGATATTTAAAGAAAGTAATTTTTGCAAATATATCCATTCATTCCTACAGTATATCATCCATTTAAAGTCCTTTATGGACAGAAACTGAACAAGTGTTTCTTTGTTATTTAGCAAGTGTTTTATTTACAATATTGCATCTTACAAGTTGTATTGTCTGCTGGGTTATATTGTAAAATTCCTAAAGATCATCAATTCATAATAATTCTAGCTATTTCCTGGCTAAAACATGACTGCCACGCTTGACGTTAATGAGGGTGGGTGGGTGGGTTTGAGTGTTAACGTCAATTTGACGCTAAGCGTGGCAACATGAATATGGACGCGGCCCGGCCGGCCTCTTAAATGAAACTTGGATGGGAAATTAGCAAAACTTTGTCTTGATTTGCCAGGCAGAGTAAACTGGATGAGTAAGCATGATATGTGACATAATTTGCTGGCAAAATTATGCAGTCTATGAGAGCCTCTAGCAGGGGTGGAAAAAATAGGCGAGCACTGCTCACAGATTTCGTTAAACAGCTGCAGCAAATTTGTTTGAATGAAGATTTGCTATTGAAAATTTGAACAGGAAAGCTAAAACACCCATGTTCTATTATGGGCACAACAACATATGGTTGACAGACATTATTCCTTGAATTTAAAATAATGGTCAGCTAGAACACTATATGTTTATGCACATGCAGATTTTGCACCAAAATACTCCGTTGGTCTGCAGGAAATTTTTGTCTCCAGATTGAGTTCCTGGAAGAAAATTCTTCTTTCCTGCCCTGTCTGAACAGCATATCTTTGCCATATTTTGTCTGAACAGCAGTACATGTCCAATAACTGGGCAACATTCTGTACTGATATTTACAAGTCTCAATTTTAGTGTTTGAAAAATGGCACAGAATCACCAAACTCCCAATCAACAACCAGAACCAATGGAACACCAGACGAGCGATAACATCCCTCAAAGTGAGAAAATACGGAAAAACCAAGTCGAGAACAGTGCTGAAGGGATGGTATGGCGAGTCGACGATATGAATCGACTCCATCGCTTCTTGGTGCTTGGAAGTGAGGGAGGTACCTACTATACGGGAGAAAGGGAGCTTGGCAAGGAGAATGCAAAAGTTATATTGCGTCTTTTTAAAGCCGGGAGGGGTGTAGAGGTCGTCAATAAAATTTTAACTTTCAGTCTCGAAGGACGAACGGCAAAGCAGGATCCAGTTATACTTGCATTGGCCATGTGCGCTCGTTCGGATGATTTACCAACAAAGCAAAGAGCCTACGAGGTGATGCCACAAATCTGCCGCATTCCCACACATCTTTTTATGTTTGTTCTATACAGTAAAAAGGTTAGCCACCCAAGCACAGGTTGGGGTAAAGCCTCCCGCAAAGCAATCCAAAAGTGGTATATCGAAAAATCACCCATGCAGTTAGCAATGGCCATAACAAAGTACCGAAAACATAAAGGGTGGTCACACGCTGACATCGCACGAGTCACTCATCTCAAGTCGGACAACCCTGCGATACAATGCATTTTGAGGTATGCCGCCCGAGGTTTTACCGAAATGTCAACAGCATTCCCAGATTCGGTTCAGAACAGCGAAGAACTTAACTCGGTGTTGAGTTTCTTCAAAGCTGTTGAAGAGATGAAAAAGTTGACAATGGACGATGAGGACAGGGTTGTGGAGTTAATTGAAAGACAGCAGTTGGTACGGGAGCATATCCCAACTGTGTGCCTTGGGTCAAAAAAGGTAATTAACAAGGTTGTATGATTGTGTGACATCCCCTAGCGTTGGACTTGTGGCTATTCACTTCATCTTGTGTGCATGTGAACAATCCTCACAATTTTAACCCATTAAGTTGCATTGCACCCTACTGTACTTTACTATTTTAGCTGAAGAGAGTTATGTCGAATTTAATTCTTGCGTGTTAGTTGAAAGAAAATATCCGTAGTAGAGATAGGGTGTGATTATTGGAAAAAGTGGGCGTAGCTCAAACTTAACTCTCGGAAATCTCTCTGATATAACTCTCACTGTGATAACTCTCCAGTAAAAATCATTACAGGCAAATAGAAAGTTGTTAGTTTCTTAGCTGCAAGTAGAATTTGTTTTAACATTTTGCCAGAAATTTATTTTTACACATTGATTCTTTGTTAGTAAATCAGCTGAAATCAACAAAACTAGACCTGATCATGCACTGATGGCAAGTGAATTTCATTCCACTGGGCCGGTTGTATAAAACTCTTAATCACTTTGCTTCTTATTGGGTGACGTTTCTACTAACTCTAGTGTTCGAAATATCACACACTCGAACCGATCTGACCGCGTAGCTCAGTTGGCAGAGCATTGGGCCAATATTCCAAAGGTCGTAGATTCGATTCCCACCGTGGTCAGGCATATTTTTCAAGCTTGCCCGGTGTGGATATGCACTCCGAGTAACATCACAAGCATCATATTCACCTGGGTACGTTACACCGACACAGAAAAATCATTATAGTGTTCTGTTTTGGGCTTATTTGGCCCCTGTTAGAGCCGAAACGGCCCCGGTTTTAAATAGCCAAAATGGCCCTTGTAAAATTACTGTGTATAGTTCACTTTCATCACTTTTTTATACAACTGGCCTCAGGCGACCAATTTTCTTGTTTAACTTACCCTAATCATCACCCATATAACTACGTCCACCAAAAGGCATTCCTCCAAATGTTGAAGTTTTTAATAGAATTTGTCTTCAATTTTAAGGTATGGAATGCACTTCTTAAGAAAATGCCAATGACGGCAATGATTCGTAACCTTAACAAGATGACAGCGATTGGTTTGCTTGAAGGAAACAATCATGAACAGCTGCAGTCAGTGTGTCAGAAACTGCGCAACGAAGACTTGCTGAGTAGAGCTCGTATCCACCCATTCAATGTGTTGCTAGCGTTGAAACAGTACGAATCTGGCCGTGGGGACAAGGGATCTCTCAAATGGGAGGCAAATCCGATCATTACCAAAGCATTGGAGGACGCGTTTTATTTGTCATTCAAGGTTGGTTGGGTTGTGTACTGTAAATTTGGGAGTATTACCACACCAAAGTCGGTGAAAATTATTGCCTCTGTATGGATACCAATTTGGTGTCAAATTACACTGAATTTGGGGTCACTATGGGCGTAGAAACACAAACAGTGCTCAATACCATATAGATAGAGCGTAATATAGTTTTTCGTTTTACCTCAAAAAACCACAACAGTCTGTTTCATCCTATACGGATGACACTCTATCGCTGCTATAACACTCTATCGCTGCTATATCACACTCAATCGCTGCTATAACACTATGACAATATCTTTCTGCTTGCGCCTTGCGCTGGGTATGGAAATTATGAAATGCACACTCGAGAACATTTTCAACTTATATACAGGGTGTCTAAAAAAAAAACGCTACGGAAATTCAACAGGCTGTTGTGCATCACAAACTTAACTAAACAATTCAATTTTTACATAAGACGAAAGAGCTGTTATTTAGCTTTTCTATTTTCATAAACCGTAACGATGAGAAATGGCCATTTACTCGTCAAATAAAAATTTTCGGTCAAAATCACATTCTTCCACTGTTGGGAATTGAAAATGCATTAATTATGCGAAGTTAATCAATCCAAAAGCACCGCGAGTCTGCTGCAAGGTACTTGTTTCGTAAAACGTTTTTATTACGAATGTTCTCTGTTCAGGGGTTAATTGAACCATGTTTAATGCAATAATGCACGTTCTTATGGTCTCACTAAGATGAAGATTGACGAGTTGAGCTTATTTTAGATAATTTAACATTTAATTTTAATTCCCTTTTGGGAATTGTTTATGTTTCATTTTCCATGCGATCACCCAACGGTGGAAGAATGTGATTTCGACCGGCAATTTTTATTTGACGAGTATATGTGGACATTTCTCATCGTTACGATTTAAAAAGAGTATCATTCAAAAGCTAAATAACTGTTCTTTCGTCCTATGTAAAAATTGGATTGTTTAGCTACGTTTATGATGCACGACATCCTGCTGAATTTCCATAGCGTTTTATATATATATATATATATATGTATATGTATATATATATATATATATATATATATAAAAGATTTTTAATCAAGGCATTTCATTAATTGAATAATTCTACAAATTATTTTGTTCTCTGGATTGTATTTTAAATTACAATCCAGATAACAAAATAATTTGTAGAATTATTTCTAGAAATTATTTTAATTATAATTAGAACGACGACATTTAGACCGTCTATTAACCTTAAAGTTAAACATTAAAAGTTGCCAGCTAATTGTTCATTTCTGTTCTCAATTTCAGAATGTAGAACCGACAGGTAAACGACACATGTTGGCCATGGACGTGAGTGGATCCATGCAATGTGGTGGGTGTGTCGGATCACCCAGTATTCAGCCTCATGTTGCTTCTGCTGCAATGGCGATGGTACAAACTGACATTGTATTTACACCACGATAACATTAGGCCGTATATTAACCTTAAACATTAAAGTTGCTAGTTGCTCATTTCTGTTCTCAATTTTATTTTTAGAATGTAGAACCGACAGATAAAGAACAGGATGTGCAGTGTGGTGGGTGTGTGGGATCACCCAGTATTCAGCCTCGTGTTGCTGCAGCTGCAATGGCGATGGTCACAGCTCGGACTGAAAATGATCCTCAATTCGTCGCTTTCAGCCAGACAATTGTTCCTATGAACATAAATAGTAACATGAGCTTGGAAGAAGTGTTGAAAGCAGCATCTTCGGTGGCTAAAACAAATACAGCCGAGGTATTTGCAGTTTTTAAATTTTCTAAATTTTATTTTGAAATTTCGCTCATATGTATATGTACATGAATGGTATTGGTATGTATAAAATAGGTAAGCAATTATGGAGTCGGGTTGTCGAGCGGTTAGCACTATTTTCCATCCAGCAAACCGCCTTATCGATTTTCTAAAGTCGTTTCTTTTTGGATTTTTTTTATTATTTAGGTTAGGGTTAGGGTTAGAGTTAGGATTGTGGTTAGGGGTTACAGTAGCCTGCGTAAAGTGTAGGGGTTGGGTTTGGGTTAGTTACATAGCCATTTTACACCTCTTCCATCTTTCGAAAATGACATCAGGTCAGTTTGCTGGATGGAAAATAGTTGTCGGTTGAGCTCTAACCGAAACATAAATACACACACAAACACACAACAACTATAGAGAACTATATGATAGTGCTGTGCGCCGGAGTTCAGCCGGAGCTCCGGCGGTTTTTCCGACGCCGGATCCGGAGCAGAATTTTGTATGCCGGAGCCGCAGTTACGTATTCCCGGCTCCGGCAAAATGACAAGAAAACAATATGAAATGAGACAAATGTCAAACGATTGTTAGTTACTGCAAACTGCCAATT